CCCAAGAAATGAGGTTTTGGTAACAGGCTTGTTCCTGAAGTGACTACGCTGAGATGGAGGCTTCTGGTAAAGATGAATGTGACCTTGGCTCTTCTCTGCATAAGTCTAGGGACAAGTTCATTACAACATGAGGAAGACTGTGCCGAGGACGCTGCACAGAACATGTTGCTAAGGGGGTGTGGAGTGGAAGACTTCTTCCTGCTGTCGGCTCCCATGCCTGCTTAGACGTCATTCTGGGGGCATAGAGAACTGACTCCCCTGTGCTTACCACCAAGGGCTCAGGGTTCTGCCCCACTGGCAAGCAGACAAGCGTTTGCAAACCCGTGAGAAGCACCAGGGCCTTGGGTTTGCTGCTGGCAACTTAGTTAAAAAGAAACTGGAAGCAAGAAGGGCCACAGGCCACAGGATCCCTGCTATGTTCTGGGAAACAAGAGCTGTGTTTTCACCAGGAGGCTGATATCCTTGTGGCACAGAGAGGATCAGGGATAAAGGTTCTCATGAACATCAGCCACAGCCAGACTAAGAGTCTTAATCCCACCTAATCCCCTTTAATAATGCAAAAACATGCTAGATTTAAAATTCATGGAGATTATCTTTAAAAAGGTGAAATTTAAAAAAAAAACACATAGAAGCAAAATCTTAGGTAATGACTGAGTTCCTTTACTTCTAATCCCCACTTTTCAATAGAGCAAGAGGATTTTTTTTTATTCTTTGATTTTTACACACCACAGACTGGGTCTAGAAGGGGTAGGTGCTCAGTGGAGATTGTTGAGAGCAAAATTAAAATGTTTATGTTGACCAAGTGCTGGGCACAAAACTAGGACATGGCAGATGCCCTCTAAATGTTTATTCCTTCTCCTCACTTAGGGATTAAGACCCCTCTGAAGCTGGCGAGGCCCCAGCAGAGTCATAGTGGAGTAATGGACAATTAGGGCGTTGCTTAGATACCCATAGATAATGACACATTTGGCTTTGGATTGAGACTCTAACGCTTTTAGCTTTATACTTTATTTGCATGATTGTAATTATATAAGCTGGATTGGGAAAAAATGGAGGAGACTCTTGGATTGCTTTGTTCAGCATTCTTTTTACTGCAAATCTAATAGCGCAACAAGTTCTCTGTTCCTTATCTCTGTTCCCACCCCTGCTATGTAGTTACCACATAGGGCTGAGAAGGGGGAGAACAAGAGGGTAAATAAAATTCATTGAGTTTTAGTTATTAACTAGCAACTGTATCCTGCACATGTGTGCGGCTTCTTTTCTTCTTCCTCTCTTTTTTCTTCTCCCTCTTCCTCTCACTTTCTATAGGTGAGGAAACTGAGCAGCCCAGGCTCATAGAACAACATGAGTTATACAGTGCCATTTCTCTCAAACAATGAAAGTGTGACCTAAACCTTTAGGAGAGAGACTAGCACACTGAGGTTGAAAGGAAAAGAAAATATCTTTGCCTCACTCAAAATAACAGCATTTAACATTTATAATAGCATAGTTACCAAAACATTGCATGTCAGTTTTCTACTCCATAGCTAAGGGAACAAAGCCTCAATGTTTAATTCGAGGTCAAAAGCCAATACATGGCAAAACTGAGATTTAAACCAAGAATCTGACTTCGAATTAAGTTGATTTTCTCCTGCAGTGTCTGTCCTGTGTGTGTAGCTACATGGACAGGAGAGACTGCCTGAATTTGGCGTGATGTTCTGTGCAGCTGGTGACTCGGGATAGACAGACCAGCTGGGCTTCCCAACACTCACCCATCGTTGAATGTCAGCTAAGAGCCTGCCTTCTCATTGCCTTCAGAATCACAAGGAAGTACATGGTTTCTGAGCAACAGAGCTGTTCCACTCTTGGACCTCAAAGCCACACTTAGTCTTTGCAACACTTTCATGAGCACCCTGAGAAACTTAAGAACAGTACTCGCTCGTCTTTTCACCCTTCATCCCTTCTGCATTCGTGCAAGCAACAGAGTTGATGGCCATAAAAGTTGGTGGAGACAGGACTGAAAAGGATTCCTTCCCTAGAGTTAGGCTATGTGTATGTTTTGTGTGGCCTGGGAAGAAGTCGGCTGAAAAATTCTGATAAATGGTTACACTGTTACAGCATGGCAGGCCAGTTTCTCTCTGTAAGCGAAGGCTGAGTCTTCTCCACAGTCACCCTCCCCAGCTTGGGCCACAGGGAAGCAGGAGATCTGGGAAGCTGGAGTGAGTCTTTGGTAAGCCCACACAGGCCTGGGTGGTGGCCAGCTTCCCATGGGTCGGTCCAGAACAGGGAGCAGCATTTTTCAGGACATTTTTTTTTTTCAAGTTGAGAAACCCAAATCCTAATCTGCTCTTCTGATGATTTTACAAAAATAAAATTGCGTGACAGATGCACAGATAAAGAGGAGTTCGCAATCGAAGCAGGTTCTGGAATGGGGCTGATTAGTAGATGTTTTAATGGCCATTAGGTTGATAATCACTCACCAAGAATAGCTTCCAGGCAGACCAAACCCATGCATAAGTGGGCCCACACCCAAGCTCACCAACACCTAGTTGGCAGGTATATAAGAGGACCCTGCGAGTCTCCCAACAGCACAGTTCAGTCTCCAGCCTTGGATCTGCCTGGATATTCTTCTACTTTCCTTGCTGAACAAAAGGAAGCCATCATGAGTTGTCAGATCTCGTGCAAGTCTCGAAGAGGAGGAGGCGGAGGAGGCGGTGGATTCCGTGGCTTCAGTAGTGGGTCTGCTGTGGTCTCTGGAGGAAGCCGGAGATCGACCAGCGGCTTCTCCTGCTTGAGCCGCCATGGTGGTGGCCGAGGAGGCTCCGGTGGAGGTGGCTTTGGAAGTCAAAGTCTTGTTGGCCTTGGAGGGTACAAGAGCATCTCTACCAGTGTGGCTGGCTGCGGTGGTGGATTTGGTGGCAGAGGTGGCAGTGGCTTCGGAGGCGGCAGCAGCTTTGGAGGCGGCGGTGGCTTCGGAGGTGGCTCTGGATTTGGAGGAGGCAGAGGATTTGGAGGCAGTGGTGGCTTCGGAGGTGGCAGTGGCTTTGGAGGAGGCAGTGGTTTTGGAGGTGGCAGTGGCTTCGGAGGTGGTGGATTTGGTGGAGGCGGCTTCGGTGGAGGCCGTTTTGGAGGAGGCAGCGGCTTTGGAGGCTTTGGGGGGCCTGGAGGATTTCCTGGTGGAGGCATCCATGAAGTCTCCATCAACCAGAGCCTTCTGCAGCCTCTTGATGTTAAAGTAGACCCAGAGATCCAGAATGTGAAGTCTCAGGAACGGGAACAGATCAAAACTCTCAACAACAAATTTGCCTCTTTCATTGACAAGGTGAGTCGGAGAGGCCACTGCTTCTGGGATGAGATGCTCTGCTTGTGCTGGATAAAAAGGCAATGCTGGACTATCTCAGGAGTCATTGATGTGACCGCCAAAGCCAGGGGCCTTGGCGAGTTCCAAATGGGAGAGATGCTGATTTTGTGGACTACACATTCTACAACATTTTCTTTGCATTCTATTTTTCAGTCCAAATGTACACTATTTATAGAAAATTTTGACATCATAGAAAAGTTGAAATAGGCAAGTAGTAACAGAGCAGGTCATGCCAGGTGACAACAGGATTGGAAGGTGATATCCAGAAAGGGTAGTTTCTGTCTCTACTGAGTGTTATTAGTTTAATATGTTCCAGGAATCTGTTATTGAAATATGTTTGGGGATGAATAGAATTCCAGCCCTCAAGAGAACCATTCTCAATTTGGTGACCCATAAAGTCTTTATTGGTGTTACTTTGGGGGTGTTGTTGTCTTGGTTCCTCAACCTTGAATTAGACAGGAATTTACCAGGTTCTTAAAATTCAAGTGGAGGAGCCCTGCCTAACCCCCAGGACTCTCCTATTTGGTGCCATCTGCTACTGGGCCAGCAGATGCCTGCTTTCTGTTTTCTCCAAAATTTATGAGACCTTGGCAGAGTACTAGAATAGGGGGAGGGAAATGCCTTGAGTCTAGGGCACAAAACAGTGAAGAAAACAGTGATCACAAAGTAGGAGAGTTCTGAGAGCAGAGTGAGACAGATGCAGTGTCAGAGGGCTATCCATCCTTTCCATGTGTGATATTGGGGGGTAGGCTCAGAAACCCTGCCTCCCTTCAATAGTGAGGGTGAAGTATTGTGACTTCTACATCTCCTGGAGCAGCACCAGAGGTTCTTGGGGGGCAAGAGTGGCTTCACTGATGTGACAGGTGGCCCGGACCTTATGTATTCTTCCTCTGGCCACTGTAGGTTAGATTCCTGGAGCAGCAGAACCAGGTGTTGCAGACCAAATGGGAACTTCTGCAGCAGCTGGATGTGGGCACCCGAACCACCAACCTGGACCCCGTCTTCCAGGCCTATATTAGCATACTCAAGAAACAAGTGGATAGGCTCACAGCAGAGAGGACCTCACAGGACTCAGAGCTGAACAACATGCAGGATCTTGTGGAAGACTTTAAGAAGAAGTAGGTGACCGAGGAAACCCTGAGTGAAGATGGGGTTTTGACTGTAGCCATCCACTGGCTGATCTCTCAGCAACAGATGCTGATTACAAAGAAGGCAGGGTTTGGAGGCTTATACAAGCTTGAGTAAATGAACAGAAAGCAACCTTCAGTTCTAGATGTCACGATTTTTAATCTAAGCATTTAAAGAGAGTTTAATTTTCCAGTAGAAAAAGGGAAAGAGGGGAGCTGGCCAACCAGAACTCGTCTAACTGCTCTTGTCTTTTGGGGGCTCAACAGGTACGAGGATGAAATCAACAAGCGCACATCTGCGGAGAATGAGTTTGTGACAATTAAAAAGGTAAGCAGGAGGATGCCCCGGGCAGGGTAGGAATAGAACTCCCTTAGAGCTCACCTTATCTAGACTGACAGTCAGAAAACGACTTCGAGTGCACACACAGAGCCAGCAATAGGGTAGAGAACACTGGGAGCTGTTTTGTTTTTGTTTTTGTTTTTGTTTTTGTTTTTGTTTTTTGAAGAACAGGGTCTGTGTATTCTCACTTCCATAGGTGATTTTTCCATTTGCCTACTGTATTTGGGAGAGCACCTCCACCAATAACCCAGTTAAAGAGTGACATGAAAAATTGCCAACAGAAAAAAGCACTTTCTTTTTTTTTGGGTCATTCGAGACAGGGTTTCTCTGTGACTTTGGAGGCTGTCCTGGAACTAGCTCTTATAGACCAGCCAGGTCTCAAACTCACAGAGATCTATCTGTCTCTGCCACCTGATTAAAGACGTGTGCTACCACTGCCCAGTCAGAAAAAAAAATATTCTTCTAGAAAGCAGAGGAGGAGTGGGGCTTTGTAGAATGTCTGCTTCCTGACTAGTTACACTGATAGAGGTTTGAGCTAGAAAACTACAAAGTGTTAGCCTAGGTCCCGCAAGGGTTTTGGAGAATAGTCCAGGTAGGTTCAGGAGAGTTTGGATGGAAGGCATGAAGACTGTGGAAGGGCACTGACACCATCTCACCCATTATGGAAATGCACCATGTCTTGAGCAAGAGGGATACTAGTTGGCAATGCCCCGTCCATTGCAAGCTCTTTTGATGCTGGGGTGTGTGAGCAGTTGATCTGGGCATGGAGCTCCTCACAGAGGTGCATGGTAGTTTATATGCTAAATAAGGGTCTGTGGAGATACAGCTTACCTGGAAGTGCTTGGGATGTTAGAGGCAACTAACTACTAGGCACTAGGTGGAGGCAGCAGAGAGAATCTGGAACCCATCAGGGGGCTATTCAAGGTGGGGCTTATGAGTTGCTCCAGAGGCCCCTAACTTCTTTGCAGGATGTGGACAGCTGCTACATGGACAAGACAGAGCTGCAGGCTAAGGCGGACATACTGATGCAGGAAGTTGATTTCCTGAGAACACTGTATGACATGGTAAAGGAAGCTGTCCCCCACAGACCCTTACTTCCCACCTTTCCCACTGAAGAAAAGTCCTTTACAATTGTTGAAAGGTCTGCTGGAATGGGATTTTGACTGGCTGACTTCAATGCAGTGAGACCATTGCAATCCTCTAAAGGGCTTCTCTAGAGCAGGGTTGGGGGTGAGGAATTTCTTCCTATGGTGTCACATGAGGTTTGGAAACAGCAGGTCAATGTCCCTTTTCTCCATGCCCTGAATGTCTAGCTCCCTTAGAAGTGACCTTCCTGTGCCCAGGTGCCTGTTATACTCCAGAGGTTAAAATGCATCATGCCTCCTGCTCACTTCTGAGACAGTAAAGAACTTAAAGGAATCTGCCTTGGACTGGGTCCTTTCTTGGGCCTACTGGCATAGTGGTGAAGGCATTGTATTAGGATGCCCATAAACACCCTTCTGCTACCATCTCCATCCTGAGGATAGCCCTGTGGTGATATCACTTTTCATCTCACCCAAGGCATGCTTAGTCTGAGAGTCTATATTTCCTCAATGCCTGGGAAGGGAGGCCTCTCAATGTCTGTGGCTGTGGGCAGAATGCCATGGCTAATCAGTGTGTGTGTGTTGTAGGAACTGTCCCAGCTACAACAGACTGTCACTGACACCAATGTCATCTTGTCTATGGACAACAACCGGAATCTTGACCTGGACAGCATTATTGCTGAGGTTCAGAGTCAATATGAGATCATCGCCCATAAGAGCAAGACCGAGTCAGAGGAGCTGTACCACAGCAAGGCAAGTCCCGGGGTTGCCGAGGGAGCCATGTGTCCCGGAAGGGAATTGGGGTGTTTGTCTAGTGGAAACTGAGCATCATTTCCATGACAGTATAGAGAATGGTGCTAAATCCTCGGGGGCCTGTGAGATAGTTTCTTAGGTGGGTTGACCATCCCTGGCCCATCACTGGCCTTCTTTAGCTCAGGCTCAGCTACTTTAGCACAGAACTTCCCTGTGAACTGTCTTTTCCCTCATCAGTATGAAGAACTCCAGATCACTGCTGTGAAGCATGGGGACAGCTTGAAAGAGATCAAGATGGAGATCAGCGAGCTGAACCGCACAATCCAAAGGCTGCAAGGGGAGATATCACATGTGAAGAAGCAGGTGTGGCTTGGGGCTCAGAGTGGGTCCCCTGTCATCCCTCCAAGTGTCGGGGAGAGATAGAGAGACAGAAAAGAAACTGGAAGTTCTAGTTTGCAGCAATCCCAGTCTCCCCCAGACCATGCTATTTAAGACCTTTAGAGTAGTCCAAGTCACATTCTGAAGTGAAGATCAGGGAAGGGAAAGAATTGCTTGACTTCAAGGGAATAATAGCAAATAAAGCAAGATCTTGTTTGGCTTGCTACGATTGGAGACACAGCTTCTTGTTCTGTCATGGCCAGCCCCTAGACAGCAGCTGCGATGACTGTGTTCACAGGGGGACAGGGAGTGGGAGGGAGCTGGTCCACATTGGACATTGGCTTTGGGACTGATTGCTAGGGGCAGAGTCTCCCACACCAAGTGTCTTGTCCTTCGTGTCCCCCCCTAACCCCCAGCAGGCTGACCCCATGTAAAACAGAGACCTTTTCTTTTCTCATAGTGTAAGGGTGTACAAGACTCCATTGCTGATGCAGAGCAGCGCGGAGAGCATGCCCTCAAAGATGCCAGGACCAAGCTCACTGACCTGGAGGAGGCCATGCAGCAGGCTCGAGAGAACCTGACCCGACTGCTGCGTGACTACCAGGAGCTCATGAACACCAAGTTAGCCCTGGATGTGGAGATTGCCACCTACCGCAAGCTGCTGGAGGGCGAGGAGTGCAGGTGAGGGTGTTGAGGTGTACACTGTCCTGTCTCCTGGAGCCAGGACAGGAGTGAAGGGAGAGGACCGGGCAGGGTCTCTGGTTAGTGAGGTTGGCATCAATCTGCTTCTCTAAGCAGACATTCAGGATGAGAGCAACAACATGGTTCTCTTATCAGTAGAGAATGGCTAATAGAACCTGTTACAAGACATTAAACTAGGTGATAATTTAACCGTTCTGGTCTTCTTTAAAAGGGAAACCAAAATGACATGAACATAGGGAGACAAACGGAAGGGTTTGTCTCTAAGTCTGTAAGGTGACTAGCTTCCTTCCTTTCCACGGTTTAGCCCCAAATGGGGAGATGGCATCAAATGTGTTGGAGGGACACACTTTGATCTTTTAAGGCCTCTAGAATGACAAACAGAACCATTTGACTATTTTAAAGAGGAGTACTCTGATTCCCCTCTCATCAGCATCCTTAGGGACTTAAAGTGGGTGAAGCTGCTGGGAGGGAAAAAGCCTGGGTGTCAGCAGCCCTGGACATCAGCAGCTAGTGTAACAAAGGAACTGCCTTTCCAAGCCACTGCTCCGTACTTGTCTGAAAGGCAGTGCCTCCCATTCCCAAGAAGGAGAGGCTGGCAGGCACCGGAATCTGGGCTTCAGTGGAAACAGGAGGCAGGGAGCCGAGGAAGGGTAGGCAACTTCACAGAGTTGCAGCTCTTTCTGCTCAGTGTTGACCGTGCAGCCTCGTTTTGAAATGTTGGGTGTGGCATGGATTCTGGATAGCAGATTCCCTGAGGTGGCTGTAAATACAAAGTGGGGCACACAGTCCGAAGTGACTGAGCCTTTCAGCTACTCTGGATCTACAGTGTGTTTGTTTTGATTGAAGCAAGATCTTGAGATAGATTGAGATTTAGGCCGTAGAGAAGTGTGGGGTTTATCACCACCTCTGTCATCCTGTGTCATCTGTCAGCGTAGAAGGTGTGGCTGCCTGAAGTAGCTAAACTGCACACTAGGAGGTGGGAGCTGTAAAACAACTCTGTTCATCCACACAGAGTCCAGATGCTCAGTCACAAATCCTTTTTTCCCCCTCTCCCTGACAGGATGACAGGAGAATTCAGCGACAATGTGTCTGTGTGTACGTAGTGGGTTATGTTCCTGTCTTAATGGGGCAGTGGAGGGTAGAGGTGGTCGAAACTCCTGGGTTGACAGCATCTCTCCTACAGCCGTGACAAGCAGCACCATTTCCTCATCCGTGGCATCCAAGGCTGGCTTTGGCTCTGGAGGTCAAAGTTCTGGAGGAAGAGGATCTTATGGAGGAGGAGGAAGCACCTACGGTTCTGGAGGCAGAAACTCTGGCTCCAGAGGAGGATCTGGAGGAGGCGGATTCAGCTCTGGAGGTGGCTCCAGGGGAGGGTCTGGATCCGGAGGAGGAGGATACAGCTCTGGAGGCGGCTCCAGAGGAGGATCCGGAGGAGGAGGATACAGCTCTGGAGGCGGCTCCAGGGGAGGATCAGGCACCGGAGGCGGATACAGCTCTGGGGGCGGCTCTAGGGGAGGATCTGGAGGAGGTGCTGGAGGCGGCTCCAGGGGAGGTTCAGGCTCTGGAGGAGGTGGATACAGCTCTGGAGGTGGCTCCAGGGGAGGGTCTGGATCCGGAGGAGGCGGATACAGCTCTGGAGGCGGCTCCAGGGGAGGGTCCAGCTCTGGGGGTGCAGTATCTGGCTCTGAAAGGGGAGGTTCTGGCTCAGGGGAAGGTTGTGGCTCCGGGGTGACCTTCTCTTTTAGATAGAGAAGGGTCATCGCCCTACTCTTTGCTTCCAGAATGTCAGCCGTATCTCTATATCGCTAATTCAGAGCAACCCCAATTTTTGTAATCCACCTCTGATGACATTTCTTTTTGAGAGGGGGTGATGAAAGATCTAATGATAAGAGTCAGAGACACGTACTGTGTTCTGGGGAAGAATCTGTCTTTAAGCCACGTCCCATCCCTGGCCTCCTTGCAGTGTCCATCTGACAGTCGTTTCCGATGGTGTTCTCTGAGGACCCCAGGGTAGCCCCCCCATCCCATCCCCCAACAGTGGTCTGCGGAACTATGCTTCTGTGTACATAGCCTCTCGAATGGACTCTGTTCTCTGAGTGCTGTGGTCTGGGTGTCTGCATAATAAACTTCATTTGCAATTGATATTATGTCGTGTCTGTTGGATGTCCAGCTCTGGTGGAAGTCCGATCCACAGAGAAAGGAAATTTGGGAGTGGTAAAAGCGGGACTCCTGGGGAAGGCATGAACCTTTGAGAGTGGCTGGGGGGGGGGGGGGGGGG